TACTGATTTTTTTTAAATGAAATTGGAGCCTGGTCTGACCCATTCAGTGCTTCAAGTTCTTGATGAAAGTTCAATTGGTCATGTGCCAGAAAGATTAGGCTCATGTAAGAAAACAGAGATTCTCTATGCCCAAGGAGAAGAAAGGCATTGAACTGCTTCTCTGAAAGCAATGAACATTTGTCGAGCTAACAACAGGATGTTTTTCTGAGACAAGTTTAGAATGATGACAGCAAAGGTTTTGGAAATTGATTCATACCCTGTCCAAGGAAACACCATCCTAATGAACCCACCTGATACCAAGAGCCAGCTGAAGGGTTTCACCCAAAATTGCTTCTAGCTAGGCCAGCCAACTAATGGTTTAGGTTGCCAAGAAGAGTGATGTAGAACACAAAAGAATAAATGAATTTGTGTATTTTACTCGAAGGAACCATGTAATAGATCAGAGAGAAAGGAAACTCACTCAGTTGCGATATTGATGCGATTATCATACATACTATTCATGATTTCTAGGTATGGGGCTGTATGTGAGCTTAACATGTTCCCAGATTTCAGTTTAGTTCTGGCTCTGCCACAGAAGAAAAAAAAATGTATTTGACTTGTCTCTGGGCAAGACAATCCCCCGAGGCTTAGTTTTCCCAACTGAGCAGTGTGAATAATATATGAATTTTCATTTAGAAATTGATGAATTAAGTGTAAAGGCTGTAGCATCTAACTAGTAGGTTGGAAATACATAAGTTTTGAACTAATGGCATTGGGTTTATTCTCAAAGTGCACGCAGTTAAAGGCTCTGTCGATGATGGAAAGATTATATGCTTCTCTAAGGATAATGTAGCTGCTCCTTGTTCTCCTAAATATATAATGAACTGATGCAAACAAGGAAGAGAAAAATGGGTTAGAATCATGGGTGAAAATTTAAATACTTGCAACTGCCAGGAAGACAAAATGAATAAATGAAGAGGTGGAATGGGGCACGTGGCCAAGAGAAGAGTTTGCAACCATCTTCAGGGAGCTAATCCCAGAACAGCCACTGCTAAGGTTTACTGTGAAGAAAGTTGGTGCACTGCATAAAGTAATGGTGCATTGCTGTAAAGCACAGACATTGCTATCTGAATTATTAGAAGAAGATTTACCAAAGTTCTATAAACATTTATTACTTTTTAAAAAATGACAGCTATTAGATTGGGTTTTGCTAGCGCATGCCTATAATCTCAGGAGGCTGAGATCTGAAGATCATGGTCCAAAGTCAGCCTGAACAGAAAAGTTGGTGCTATTCTGATCTCCAGTTAACCACCAAAAAGCCCCATTTGGAGGTATAACTCAAGTGGTACTATCCTAGGCTTGAGTAAAAAAAAAAAAAAAGCAAAGGAACAGTGTTCAAGTTCAAATCTCAACATCAGCAAATAAGAATGGCAAAATTTAAAATAATCAAATACTGACTGGGCAGTATATAAATGACTATGGAAAGAATATATGAGTTCCGGAATATGTGTTTGTGATTGCACAGATGAAATATGCTGAGCCAGTGAGGTAAGGAGAAGATGATTACCAAGAAAATGTAATATATGAAGATGTGTACAATCTAAATAGACTGTGATACACAAAGGAGCCATGAAGAGGTCAAACAGTTGATACATTAATGTCAGATCAAGGAATGTAGGAAGGGGAAGCTATAGAAATAAGAAGAGCCAGGCGCTGGTGGCTCACACCTGTATCCTAGCTACTCAGAAGGCTGAGATCTGAGGATGCCTTTCAAAGGCAGCCCAGGCAGGAAAGTCCTTGAGACTCTTATTTCCAATAAACTACCAGAAAACCAGAAATGATGCTGTGGCTCAAGTGGTAGAGTGCTTGCCTTGAGCTGAAGAGCTGAGGGACAGTGTCTAGGCCCAGAGTTCAAACCCCAAAAAAGAAGAAGAAAGAAGCCATATCTTTTTTTCAATCATCTAGGCTAAGGAATTTTCATCTCTGGAACAATGTCTACTATAGATAAGGGGTCAATTGGAATGGTAGGATCAACATTTCAGATTTGCATCAAGGCATACTGTAATATGGAGACTGGATAGCAAGATTCAGTGGGAGATGAAGAACAGAGTCAGGATGCCTATCAAGAATATAGTTTTTTTTTTTTTGTAGAAAGAAGTATAGGGAGCCAGAAGTGTCTATAAAAAATAAATCCATGCTGTGAGTGAGGAGCAAGTAGGCAAATCATGATTCCATTTCTGCACATGCTTTAAGCTTTGCAGAAGAGATGTAGCTTAGAGTATTCTACATGTAATAGACAACAGCCTCCAAGAATTCAGAGAAGCAGCAACTATTCAGGGTTTGCAGGCGTGTTTGTGTAGGTTTGTATGTGATCAGGATTCTATTGAAATAATTCAATCCTTAGTCTACATATTCCTCTCAATAAAGGAAAGAAACAATCACATCTACTATTTTTCTTCTTTTAAAATAATAAAAGATGGCTAGGTAAACACTGAAATTTGTTGTGGAAGTCACACTGTATCTGATCGTCTAATTGTGTCCTGTTAGCATCCAGAAGTGACAGGGCCCCTTTCTCCAAGAGCATAGTCACCAAACTGAATGACTTCCACATTAAGGGGTGCATTTCTTCCAGCAAAACCACACTGATCACCTTGTTTGCCATTTATAAACCTATTGACTAAGTCACACTCAAGAAAACATGCAATAGATTTTGCATTCTCCACGTCTGCCAGGAGGAAAATGACACTAACAAGATATATGGAGAGTTATTCAAATCCACTGTGGGGAGTGACTACAAAATGAAGGAAACAGAACAAAACATTTAACCACATAAATCCTCCTTCCTTATTCCACACAGTCTCCCAGAAAGAATAATGAACTTTCTGCTGTGATCTGCCTGTGTGTATAATTGATTTATCTTGTGGTTAAAAGGACATTTACTCACCCAAATTGAGACAGACAAGAAAATGCAATTTGGGTTTGGCCTCTTGGCCTGCTTGGGTATCACTTATCTGAATCGAAAAGATAGTGGAGTTTGTCATTATCGTAGAATAAGAAACCAGATAGATGACTTAGGAATGTTCTGCCTCATCTTTGGATACAGGCAGTAAATTGTATAAATGTATTTACTGGTCTGGTGATCGGGTATGATATAAGAAAGGAATAGAAGCTCCTTGTTCTACACTTCCACCAATTTACCTTTGTAATTATTTCCTTGCCCTCCCATAACCTATTGAATTTGCAACTTGTGTCTTCGTTAGTATTCATAATCTTTACCTGAAATAACACATTTGAAATCCTCGTCTACTCCACCTCTATGGGAATGCATTCCCATCTAGTCACCTGATAGACCAAGATTTAATAAAACGGTAAGATAAAGGGCTAGAAACAAATGAAACCCAGACAGGATATCCTCTATAGATAGAGGAAATAAATGATAATTATCCCCTGCCTGTGGTATTTTCCTATCCATCTTCTCTCTATTAGGATCCTTGGTAGACTTCACATATCTATGAGTTCCCCATTCAGTTGTGTATATCTCCCAACCCAAGGAATTGAAATAAAACTTTGTTCTTTAAGGACAGGCTGAATGTCAGCCATCAGCCTTCTTTGGAATCTCCCAGAATTCACAGCATTAAATAATAACCTATTAGTGGATTGCTGGCTTGTGGTCCCTCAGAACACACATTTTTCTAATAGAGTTCTCAAACTATTGTGCATGGAAAAGAAGTTGAGAGACATGGTGTCTCTAGAAGAAGCATGGTCCTCCATGTCAGAGACATTCAGAGCCTAGTGATCATATCTTTAGACAAAAGGGCTATGTCACTTCTAAATGCTCACAGGACACAATTCCATGATGAGATATTATGCAACTAACATGCTAAATAGATTTTGTGTTTCACCCAGCTGTGATTTTTTCTTTACAAAATGTGAAGTGAGATTATTTTTCCTTTATTGATATGACTATGTAGAATAAGGACAGAAGCACTGTGGTTTTTGAATGGCAACAAAGTACTTTAGAAACTTTGATGTGTAAGGAATGTATCAAAGCTCCACTGACACTCTCCAGATCTTTCCTCAGTTGAAAGTTGGGGATGAGTCCTATTTACTATTCTTGGTGAAGAAATCTTGTCTTCCAAATATTATATTGAGGGTAAGCTATAGAATCAATTACTGTGTACCAACTGTTTCTAGCCACTGTTTGGACAAAAAAAACAACAGTGATTGAGTACATACTGAATTCTATGACTTTGACTATGTCTTATATGAAATAAATACATTCTTATTTTATAGCTCAAACAGATGACGCAAAGGCCATCCAGTAAATGGCATGGCTTCTGGCCCCCAAATATATCCACTCTGCAACACATTATGTTGCACTGCATAATTATGGTGTATGATATTGCAGTTTCCTAGCTTATCATACCTAACTGGTTGCTTCTTCATCTACCAGAAAGGATTCTCTCATGCCCTGCTTTGTACTACAGTGGAAAGCCAAGTACAGACAGTATGAAATCCAAGCTTATTCCATTAACAAGGCACATGGTCCTCTGAAGATTCATTCTTAAACATTTAGAGTAAAGGATCACTTGTGAACTGTTTCCTTCTTCTTCTCCCCTCCCCCTCCCCTTCTTCCACCTTCTCTTCTTCTTCCTCCTCCTTCCCTTCCTCCTTCCTCCTCCTCGCTTTCTCCCTCTCTCCTCTTTGTCTATATATCTCTCTCTCTATCTCTGTCTGTGTCTGTCTTTCCTCTCTCCTCCCTCTCTGTGTCTGTCTGTCTCTCTCTCTCTCTCTCTCTTTCTCTCTCTCTCTGTCTCAGTCTCTGTCTCTGTCACGGTTCCCAGCCTATAACAGCCATTAACATTAATTCCAGGCTCTTTAAATTCCTAACTCTCATTGGAAATGTCAACAGACACAACAGTAATTAAACCAGCCATTGCCAGTAAAGATAGTAAAACTGAAAAAAAAAAAAGAATTCCATGATGTCTTATATCCTTTTTGTCTTCTTTTTTCATCTTCAGGGGGAACATCATCAAGACAGAAAGGCTTTGTTGGGTGCATTCGCTCCTTGCATTTGAATGGTCAGAAGCTGGACCTGGAGGAGAGAGCTAAAGTCACATCTGGAGTCAGGCCAGGCTGCCCAGGGCACTGCAGCAGCTACGGCAGCAACTGCCACAATGGGGGTAAATGTGTGGAGAAACACAGTGGCTACTCCTGTGACTGTACCAACTCCCCCTATGAAGGGCCCTTCTGTCAGAAAGGTATGCTGAACATTCACACTGCTGCTGGGTTCAGTGCTATCGACCCTGTGGTCAAGGTCAGATCGCTGGATACCCATGTCCTCACCACCAGCTCTCACTCTCTTTCCTTCTGTTCAGAGACTCAGTCTGGCATATCAGTGTAATCCCAGGCACTGTTTATCCTGTGTAGCTAAAGACCCCATTGAAGACTAACAATGTAGATGTTCATGCCGGTTATGTTAACTGGATTGCTAACAATATACCAGCATTCCCAGTTTAATTCCTCAGTTCACAAATGGAATCAAAGGATCCTAGAATCTTGTCCTAGAGAAGTCTTAGAGACCCTTCTGCCATCTTTTTTTTTTAACAACAGTACTCATGGTATGTATACTGCAAATTCTAGATAATTCTAGAAACCATGGAATCTCATTTGTCAGAATATTACTATTTTTAAACTGAAAAGTATAAGAATTGTCTATAAATCATTGCAGGTTTTTTAAAGTTTGTATTGTTGGTGGCAAAAAGTTTTCTGGTCAATATAAAATATGTTCAGAATTAAATTTCAACCGGAGCTGGGAAGGTGGCTCAGTTATAGAGTGCTTGCTTTGCATGCATAGAGGCTCTGGGTTCGATTCCTCAGCACCACATAGCAGAAAATGCTGGAAGTGGCAAGGTGGCTCAAGTGGTAGAGCACCTGCCTTGAGTTCAGGCCTGATCACTGACAAAAAAAAGAATTACATTTCAACCATTGATATAAAAGTGCCTCAAGTTTGTAATCCTAGCTACTTGAGAAGCAGAGGTTGGGAAAATTTAGTTAATAGCAATCACAATAATTAAAAGTCATACACCTTTGTATATAGCTGTTATCCCAGCTATGAAGGAGATAAGACTGGATGTAATGGCAGTTATCTGCAATTCCCATTGCCTTGCAAATAGGAGGATCACACAGTTCAGCAAAAAGTGAGATACTACATCGAAATTAACCAATGTGAAAACAAAGAAACAAATGGAAAATGACTAGAGATGTGGCTCCAGAGCTTTAGCACCTGCCTGCAAGCCTAAGTCTCTGACAGAAAAACAACAACAACAAAAAAAACAAATAGTAACTATGAGGTCCACTACTGTTAATCAGCTGATAATAATAAAATGTTTCAATCACATTGGTAGACACTATAAAAAGCTCTAATCAACTCACTAAAACACATCTTCCAACCAGCTCTATCATACAATACATCATTTAGAGCAACTTGATTTGGAACTTAGAGATAAAAGAAACAACAATAACAAAAACACTAAGTGTTTTCCTCAAATAATTCTATCAGGCAATCTCTTCACATATTCATTCTGCCTTTTGCCCCAGTTAGTGGTAATTACCTGCTTACTGCTGAGAAGAATGTTATTCTGTTTGAGGATAAGATGAATAATTACCTGATTTGAGGCCAACAGTTTAGTGGGGCTTCTGTCTATGAGCTTGGACTAAAGCAACTCCTATCCCAGTGGGCTCTCATATAAACTAATACAAACAAAACCTCCTGGGTTTTCACACAGGGAGTAGGAGGTCTCTGTACAACAAACACCAAAAGTTTGAAGCCAACCTTAAAATGATCCCATTCATTACAAGAAGTCAATAAAGATTAAAGAGCACTTACTTATTACTATGTGTACAGAACTAGCTCACAGCATATTGTATTCAAGTCCATAATTTAAAGAAAAATAGTGAACTGCAAACTTCCTTTATTCAGGGAGATCATTCAAACATCTCATAAATCTTTTTGCATAAATTTAGCCTGATCTTGTAGATTCCTTCTTTCTAAAACAATTTCTATTAATTCTCTGTCTTCTCTACTCTATCTCTAGCTTGTATGTGTCAAAACAGTCTCTATTTCCATTTCATTCTTTTATTTTGACCCATAAGCTAAATAAAGAAGTTGGCGATTAACCTCTTTAGAGTAGTTCATATTTCATCATTTTCAAACGTTCCCCTCTGTATTCAAATGATTCCCTTTATATTCTCTTCATCACTGTGACAACATTGCTGAGTAAACCAACTTAAAAAGAGGTATGGGTTATTTTGGCTCATGTTCCTTGTTCTTGTCTCTGAGCCTGTGATAGTACTGTACATCATGGTGTTGGAGAAAACCTGCTCATCTCATGACTCCTCCAGAAGAAAAGAGAGAGAGAGGAGAGAGAGAGAGAGAGAGAGAGAAGGGAACTGATATTTGAATGACCTAGCTTCCTTTCATTAACCTCATCTTCCCACTAGCTCCACTACCTCTCCGTAGTGACAGAAGCTGGTGACCTTTATCATATAAAGCCTCGGGGAATATTTAAGATCCAGACCATAAGAGGAGGTTCAGTGACTTGCTAATAATTGTCAGAGCTGAGGGGCCATTTCATTTTCTCATTTATGATCCCAATTCCATTCTTTATTATAAATATGGTAATTGATTTATATCTTTCCAGAAATACAGCGTTTTGCACTATGTGTCATTCTCTGTCATCTCTCTGCTCTTTAGATAGAATTTCATACCATAAACCCCAGCCCTTTGAGATATAGGGTATGATTGTTTTCAATAAGTTTACAGTTTTATAGGATTAAATCATCACTAACTAATTTCTGAGTACTTTTGCTTTTTTCCTCTCCCAAATGCCCTATAGCTTCTTTTGTCTCCATGGACTTGGCTGCTTATTCTGAACCACTCACATATACAAAAACAGTCAGTCTATGGTTTCTTTTTTTTTGCGGGGGGTGGGGGTCGGGTCATGGGGCCTGAACTCTGGGCCTGGGCACTGTCCCTCAGCTCTTCAGCTCAAGGCTAGTGCTCTACCACTTAAGCCACAGCGCCACTTCTGGCTTTTTTCTTTTTGCTTATGTGGTGCTAAGGAATCGAACCCAGGGCCTCAAGCATGCAAGGCAAGCGCTATACCACTGAGCCACCTTCCCAGCCCGAGCCTATGGTTTCTTTGTGTCTTTTTTTCTCCCTCTTAGCCTAATGTTGTCAAGGTTTTGCTGTGAGGGGGCATTTTCCATTTCTTTCTCTCTCTTTTTTTAAAATTACATAGCATTCCATAGTGCATAAGCAGCATGTGTGTTTATGTGTTTGTTGGTGGATGGACCTTGGGATGCCTTGGTTTCTTCTTCTGTTTTTTTTATTGTGAAAATACTGTACAGAGGGGTTATAATTACATGGTCAAGATAACGAGTACATTTCTTATCAAGCATTGTTGCCTCCTCTTTGTTTCCCCTTCCCATCCCTTCCCATACTCTCCCTACATCCCCCACCCAATCCTCCCCCCACCCCACCAAAGTTGTAAAGTTCATTTTTCGACATAAGGACTAGTGCATCTCATTGTTGCAATGGGTCCACCTGTATCCCTATTTAAATGATTTGTTTTTGCCCTTCCCCTCCACAAATTATACCAACATCAAATACATTGAAAGCAAGGGTTATACCGTGGGGGAGGGACAAACAAAGCAACATAGAAATCATCTTAAAAATATGTTAGAAACAATTGCATGAAAGAAAAAAAATTGAATACTTATCTTGTAATGCTGTTATAACTATTCATGGGCACATTTTTACATAGAGTATGAAAGTATGTTTTTTAGTTTTTGGAGTACATACCTAGAAATAAAAACATTGCTGGTCATATAGTTTTAATTTTGACAAAATGCCAAATTGTTTTTCAATGGATACTAGAACTTACTTCCCAACAGCAGTGTGTGATGAGAGGGTTCCAATTTTTTGCATTCTTGACTACACTTGTATTATATGACTCTTCCTCTTTAACATCCTGCTGACTGGGAAATCACACCACACTGTGGCTCTGACTTGCATTTACTGATGACTATTAAACACTGTTCCATGTTTTTTTTTTTCTGTGTATCTCCTTTGCTGAAATAACTATTCAAATCTTCTGTGGATTTTTATTTGGTTTTTCTATTTAATTATAAGAAATTTAGTATTTTTATATATTCCCCTGATTATATATGCAATTTGAAAAAAAAAGTATTTACTAGTTCTGTAGGTTTTCTTCTTCTGTTCCATATTCTTTCATTGTATCATTAAATTGTTTTTTCAGTACTGCACTTGAAATCAGGGCTTCAGTGCTCTACCACTTCAGCAAAGGCTCTAGCTCTCTTTGGAATTATTATTTTCCAGATATGTCTTGATCTTTATGACTAAGAACCACCTCAGAACAATATCCTTCTACCTATGGCTCCCATGAAGCTGGTATTATTGTTACAAACTACTATGTCTTGATTATTTGTTGAAATAAGAGTTTTATTTAGCATTTTAACCAAGAAGATTTAGGGCAAAGATCCTCTTGATTTCTGTATTTTGAGTAGCTAGGATTATAGATATAATCTACCACATCTGGCCTATGGTATCTTCTGAAACACAAATGTTTTACTTGTGATGAAATCCATTTTAATTTTTCTTTTTGATTACACTTTTAGCTTCATACTGAAAAGTAATAGTTAATATAAAAACATGGAAATTTGTGCCTCTTTTCTTTTTTAATTTAATTTAATTTACTTGTAAAGGTGGTGTTCAGAGGGGTTACAGTTTCATAGTAAGATTATGAGTACATTTCTTATCGAACGTTGTTACCCTCCTCCCTCATTCTTTCCCTTTGTCCTTTGTCTCACCATTTAGTTTTCTTCTATGTTCCTCTAGTTTTAGCTCTTACATTTAAGACATTGGTCCATTTAGAGTTAGCATTTCCTGTATATTTTAAGTTAGGGGCCTGACATGATTCTTGTACATGTGACATCCATTTTCTCCAACAACATTTATTAATGTGTCTGTCATTAACTCACACCATCACCATTTTATTGAATATAATTGTGTACCCATAATGGTACTAACATCTATTTTTTTAAATTAAAATTGTTAGTTAGTGGGCAACAATGGCTCATGCCTATAATCCTAGCTCCTTAGGAAGCTGACATCTGAAAATGTCTGGTTTGAAGTCAATCTAGACAGGAAGGTCCATGAGACTCCAATCCCCAACTA